AACTTTCCAACTATTCTCCTCCTTCACAGAATGTGGCAGAAAAAATAGTTAAAAAACAGGTTTTTTACATAATTTTCAGTTCCGCAGACCGAAGGTTCTTGAAATACGTTGTTCGTTTTTCGTTGTTTGTGATGATATATATGCAAAGCGCTACGAATCTAAGCGAAGGGCGATTTTTATCATAAACAAACAGAGTTGTGTAAGTTTCATATTTAGGTCCCAACAGAGGCTACGCTGATAATAATAAGGCTTTTCTTAGCGATCATCAGGGGTGTAGAATCTACCTGTAGACTACAGCAGCGCTACGTGAAAAACCGGCTCTCGTAGGGAAATTCTAGAAAGATAGAGGAGGAGGGAAAGAGAGCTGTAGGCGGAATGAAAAACGAAGTCATTCAATGAGAAAGCTTCGACGACTAAAATGTGGGAAGCAGAGATTTCGCGGAAATAAAACTTCGAATTCACCCGCAAGAGAAATCCAGATTTTCCTTGAGGAGCAATCCAATTTTTCTGTGGACGAAAACGCAAACCTATTTTCGTTTCAAGACAGATTTTTAAAAAGAAACGTGATATTCGCTCTCATCTCTATACAACTGGGAAAGTTTTCTCGATCTTCATGCTAGCGGTGGAGAAACTCCGACAGACTCTGCAATCCTGGCGATCATCCTCAAATATAATATCGAGTTGTTTACTCCTTCACAGACGCATGGTTGATCACGACAGGAACAAATGCTGGCGTGGTTAAAGAAGTTGGTGAAGCCCTCAACAATTATCGTTACAAAAATCACAAGCATGGTCTTGATGTGCCCTGCATTGGAATTGGTAGTTGGAATGATACAGCTGGCAGTGAACAGCTCGATACCACAACGATGCCATCTCATGCAACCACCAATGCCACTTTGAATAAAGCAACTGTGCCGCCGAAATATCATCATCATCGTCGGATTGAATCTGATCAGATTGTGAGATTCAATCTCTAGTATTGATCTATTATTTCACATCATATATAGGATGTTGCTAATGATTACCGTGTTCGTTCATATGTGGTCAAACGGCAAGAAATGAAACTATGCGATTTGGAGCCAAATCACACACATTTTTTGTTATTTGATGGTGGATCGTCCAGTGCTGACAGTGTTCTGTTCCAACGAGCCGAAATTGAAAAGCATTCACGGCGAATCAATGCAACAACGGATGTGTTCACGCCGATTGTTATGGTTCTTGTCGAAGGTGGATTATTGTCGATTCGAACTATTTGTCAAGCACTCGAATCGAACACACCATTGGTCGTTGTTAAGGTGAGTTCATAAATAGAGGCTCACGAATAGATAAATGGAGTACATATATTTTGAAGCTCTGATCCTGGCTCCATGAAAGCAGGCTCACATATCTTCACTAACGGAGCACAATTTTCATCTGAATTTGAAATAGGAGTCTGGTCGAGCTGCAGATCTTGTCGCTGATCTGCATACATACTTTTGTAAAGTCGACATTGGTGTTGATGGAAATCCGCAACGATCTCGGGCAGGATTCATCAATAATAAAGATGATCCAATGGCTTATTCCAGAGAGACTGAATTAAGCTCAATGTGAGTTCTCATTCGTTTAGAGCATATTTTGTCTTTCTCTTATCTAAGTAGATTGGAGAGAACCAAAGCCAACAATAGTCCATGGGTCGATGACGTCAAGGACGACTTGTGTAGGGTGTTGCGTCGTCGAAAGCAACTGGTAACCATTTTCAAGTTCGACAGTGAGCATCATCATGGCAATTTGGAAGATGCCATTCTTGAAGCCCTCTTGAATGGTGAATGCTTTTGATTAGCCTGTTTTTAGAAATTCGTATCTATAATCTGTATAGCCGCCAAGTTCTCGATAGATAATAATAATGAACAACAGTGTCAAGTGGCCGAACTCAAATTAGCCATGGTATAAAATTTGATTTCTCACAAAATGTGTTGAATGATTTCAATCTCACTCTCTTGTCAGGCATGGCAAAAGTTTGAATATGCTGCAAAGCACATTCTCACCGATACGACCATTTCAAAATGGGAAGTACGCGAGTATTTTGTTTTGTTCTCTCGATAGTAACATATTTAAATGAAAGGAAGTCGATCTTTGTCGAGCTCTAGTCGAAGCTCTTCGTCGAGGCCATGTCGATTTTGTCGAGTTACTCATCGAATATGGAACACCACTCGAAAAATTGACTATTGACGATCTTGAACAACTCTATGCGACGACGGATGTGTGTATCATTCAAAAATTGTTAAATTAATTGATAAAATGTTTTGTATGTTTTCTTATTGAACAGACCGACGATGGATTACCAGTGGAAAAGAAGAGTACAGAAAACTTTCTGACAAGAGACAATTATTATTCAAGCTATTTCAAGATTCATTCCGACGTATGTGTGCGAGTGTGTCTACATACATATAAGTGTGAATCTCTTCATGTAGCTTTATCGATTATCATCAGATAAGAGCTCACCATTGGGAAAACATTCAGCGCGCGAGCTCTTTCTTTGGGCTATCTTTCAAGATCGATTCGATCTGGGCAAATATCTCTGTTCAAAGACTTGGGTAAGAATCTATTCAATTTCCTTCTTCTATACCAGAATTTGAATATTTGCTAATATTAGAATCAATCTGTCGCACCGTTAATTGCCGCACAAATCTATCGGCAAGCGGTCATAATGGCACTTCATTCTGACACTAAACGACATTACGAAAATAATGCCCGGTAAGTTGTATAGTATATCTTCTTCATCTGATTGACTTTTTTTGAGAATATGATAAAGGAGCAAATGCGTTGGTAAATCTAACTATGTTTAAATATTGCCGTAAGGTCTTAAATTACGGGTACATATGCTATTTGCAAGTATGACTTGTGCCTGATTTTGATACAACCACATCGTATCGGGTTGTTCCTAAAGTTCGTGCAACTAAACCCGAACTGAGTGTTTGAAAAATTTAGTTTACACCATCGTGTAGAGCGTGTCCCAGTTCAATATGCACGCTACCGACACATGTGTCGACACAAAATGACACAAAAATTACTCAAGTCTTAGAACAACGAAATATTTCGTTTGCAATGTTTAAAATAATTTGACACATATGCTCCAGCATGTCATGCTGTGTAACACATGTTACACCAGCGTGTCATGATGTGTCAAATTTTTTTTGAAACATTGCAAACGAAATATTTCGTTATTCTAAGACTTGAGTAATTTTTGTGTCATTTTGTGTCGACACATGTGTCAGTAGCGTATCATATTGAAATGCACTGCATTTTTACTATGGTTCATTCCTTTTTGACCTGATCACATCATTTTCTCTACACGAAAAAAATTAGTTCTCACAGCCATATCTGCCGATGTTTCAGAAATATCGAGCAGTGAGCAGTCATAATGTTTTTTACTTGAAAAGGGCTAAATGCCACCGAAATCAGTTAGGAGCTGGAAAATATTTTTCAGGACTGTGTTTCGTCGTACTGTATTATCGCAAAGTGGATGACTGAATTCATGGACTCAACACGTGGCTTAGAAGATGAATCACGAAGTGGTCGCCTATCAGCCACAACCATCTATAAAAACGCTGAAGCCGTGAGATGTATTGTGATGTGTGATCGACAAGTCTCGGCCCATTGTGTGGTCTACGAATTAGACATTCTAAAAGCAATAGCCTGCGAGATCACAAGCAATCGTTCAGGCATGAACAAGGTCTGCACACATTGGGTATCAAAATTACTGACTCTACTTCAATGCGCCAGCCAAGTGGAGTGTTGTCAGGGGCTGCTGCAGACAAGTGAAGCTATCAGACTAACTTTCTCTATTGCATCGCAATCGGGGGCGAATCATAGGTCCGGCACTACGGCCAAGTCAGCCAGCTAAAATCCAAGGCCTGGAAGAAGTCAGCAGAAAAGACACCAACTTGACTCATCAGCAGCGATCAGCTGACAAGATCATGCTAATCATTCTCTGGGGCAAAGCTGGCGTGCTGATCACCGACTACCTGACTCATGAAGACACGAGTTGTGATTCCTATTATACATCAGTCATAGAGCGACTGCGTGCTGCTCTCCTGGAGAAACGCCGCGGCAAAAACAACCGTAGGGTGCTGCTTCTTCGTGAGAACGTGCCTTTTCACAAGTGCAACATTGCATAGGCTGCCATTCATCAGACAGGCTTCGTCGAATTGAATCATCCAGCCTGGTTTTCGGACATTGTACCTACTGTTTACCACATATTTTCGCATTTGAAGAAATTCCTTGTTGGCAAGAGTTTTGGCCCCGATGATGTAGTAATAATGAATGTCAAGGAGTACTTGAGCGATCTTGATTCTGAGGTTTTTTCTAAAGGCATACAGGGTTTGTGTGATCCTTGGCGGCGCGTGGTTGCTAGTGAAGGTCAGTACATTGAATAAATGCAGCAGTTGTTATCCTGCGATCTCATATTAAGTGAGTTGCACGAACTTCTCGGACAACATGATACAAATGATCTTTCGTTG